CTACCACTGTAAAAGGTTAATTTAGTTTTATATTCGACTGCAACCAGATTACCTAATCTTTAAATTGCTAGCATTAAAGGGACTAGATTTATAGTCTATAAATTAGATTAATTATTTTTAGTTAAAATTAACTATTAACTAACTATAAAATAAAATTAATTTTATCCAAGTAGGTATATACAACCAGTTATGTTTATCTTTTGTTTTTGACATAAACTGTTAAAGGCTGATAGATTTGCTTAAACGGGTCGTTCTTTACGCCGCCATTTACAGTATTCTGTAAATTAAAAATATTTACTTTTTCGCTAGTTTGAAGTGTCATCGTCCCGGATGAGATGGAAATGTTATAAAATATTTTTAATCTATTTTGCAATGGTGGAATCGCGGTACTCGTGACCTTATGGAGAGTAATTTTATAAAATGAATTTCCAAGGATAAGATGTTACAAATAAGAAAAAATATCAAAGTTATTGCTATTATGTTATTGATACACATAGTGTATTGAGTTTTTGTTTTATTTCATGATACGTATCGTGCGAAATTGGAATGCGACTGCTTTTTTCTCTTACTACAAGATTATTACATTAGCCTCGATTATGACGCGATAAAAGCGACGTAAACATGTCGAAGCCTCACTCTCCAATCGATTACCATTTGAATAATTTTACTACGGAATAATTCCATTTCATTTATATCTATTTCTGCAAGTTCATAACGTGTATACTTCTGACGAAAACAAGGAAGTATTACGAATATTTCCTTCACTACATTAATTTTGTTTTATCTCAAAGAATTTGTTTTTGTCACAGGGAAACAAAGGGAAGGAAATGTTGGAATGACTTAGATACTAAACATAGCCATTATTTTTATTTCATTGAAGTTAAGTAATGAGCTTCTTTTATATGCATTTGCTTGTACCTGAATTGACATTATTGTATACTGTTGTCTTTGGAAATCATTCAATTCGTTTGATTAAAGCATTTTTTTTTATTTCATTATTTCCATAAAATTATACTATATTATATTATACATTAGTCGTTCCCGACAAACCACTTACGTGGTTTGTTAGCGTCGCCCCTTTTAATCATTTATATATGGTAGAATCTCCTGCAAAATTACAGCGAAATAAAGAAAATATATATATGAAGTACATGCAACAAATTAAAACGTATTTCGCTTTCCTATAAGTAGCATTGCGATAAACTGCCCTTCTTTTTATCTTAAATCGAATTCGAAATCTTTCTTTTGCTGTTGCGAATCTTACACTGTGCTATCACTTTATTCTATGAGTATTCTTTGAAAATACTAGTTTGTTGTCGTATACTTCTAAATTAAATTAATTTATTAAATTATCTTGACAATGACAATATTTAATAGTAGATGTAAGTATTAACTTAATAAATATTATACCAACCATACATCTCTCAAACCAAATAGAAAAAAGCTAAACGAAGTCTTAATGATTATTAAATTCATTTATTTAAAAACGTTTCGATTTTTACGTACGTACAAAATACCGTTTTAAATGAAATCCTTAATGACGGTACCGGTTTCGGGACAAAAGATGTTGGTCCGAAGCGCTTTATCCTCTTTTAATGAACCCAACTCCCGCTATGCAGTATGCTCTTTTTGTATTGTTAACTGAACTAGTTTTAATGAACTATTTATTAATAAAATTGATTATGCTTTAATATTGGTGGAGGCGAATGCAGCGCCAATACAATAAATAAAAAAATTAAATGTACATGCATTCTATGTTTCATAGAACGTTCTCATCATCAACTTGCCCTTGTCTCTTATGGAGGGTCGGCACAATATGTGCTGCTCTCCTATACATTTAAAGCCGTCATATCTAAATCCACTCCCTTCTTAAGCATATCCTTTTTCACACATTCCATTCATACTTTCTTCGTTCTTCCTCTTCCTTTGTAGCCATCCACATTCATTCTACTTCTACTAATACTTTCTGGTTTATGTCATAGAACGTTCTAGTCTAAAAGATATGGCGCGTATATCAAGCCGAACAGATTTCAGGTTCTATTGACATCCTCCCTTAATCCCAGAATTTTATCCGAGAAATTCACAGAATAGCGTACCTGGATACAATGCAAATGTACATGCAAGCTTCACAACCTTCAAACTTTAACTGAAACTGAGCTCATGCCGAAATTGAAGCGAAACAAACTTTATTTAAAACGTTTAATTAAAACTCGAGTGACATACCAAAAGGTTTAGAACTACTGGACTTTCATATTTTAAAAGGAATTACTAAAGCTAGTAAAGAAAAAGTATCCACTATAATAGCTAATAGTACTGTTCAATCATGTATAAGTAGGGGTTGCTTTTACCACCAATATCCCGTAAAAACATTCATGTTTTACGGCTTATTTAAAAAATAATGAAAGACGAATAAATTATTAATTCAATGGAAATTATTATTTATTTCATTTGAAGTATTTGGAGACCGATATTAAATTATTAGGATTTTATTTCAAAGACTAAAAAACTAAAGATAAAAACCGTTTAATCTTTGATCGTCTAGTCTATCTTCAAAGCTTTAAAACTATTTCAATTATACTTGTCCAACTTAGAACATTCATCTTACTCCGTAAAACTTTTAATCAACATCAATTGACTTCTAATATGAACTTCAACAATAGATCGTGTCTCATCAAAATTCATACTAGACGGTTGGAAAATTCCATTCCAACTAGCGATTTATCACCAGCTCACTATACTTACCCACCGGATTGGTTACAATCTATGCTTCTATACTATTATAATAAAGCGTAAACACACACTTCTTTGTTGCCTAAGATGTCAGCAATTATAGCATATTTTTGAATAATTCTTTCTTTAATAACATGCCCTACACTTACGACACGCTTTAGGCTATATATTTTCACGCTATCAAATTTAGTGGGTAAATAAATTGGAAAAAAAACTTATATTGTGGGAAAGAGACCATAAACTACGAGCTGCCAACATTAAGGAAGCAAAGTTATTATGGTAACGGTAATTTTGACATTTGCAATTGAGAATTTGACAAATATAAAATAAAGTTTTTATAATTTCATGCGGGTGAAGCCGCACGGGAATAATTAGTAAGCTATATAGTAGTAACTATACAATAGTTGAAAAACGTCCAGAAACATGAAACAGCAACTAACAGCAACAGTTGCGCTAATAAACATGAACATGATATACCCTAAAGACCGTATCCTCTTTTGTTAATTAAAAAAAATACTCTTTACATTATTTGCAAAGAAACAAGGTACCTTCATAAGCTGAATTAAAATGTTTTATCGAAAGTACGGTTAAATAAATTATGTTGAACAATCAATCAATTCTCAATTAACTTATAATGATTTTATGGGTAATTCACTCTCAATACCTAATAATTAAATTATCAAGGGCTTATAACAAACTCAAATAACTATAATCTCAAGCACTTAAACATGGTAGTTAAATTTCAATTAAGTTGTTAGTAACTTTTAGTAGACAACATCCGTCTAACTTCTCAAACTAACACAGTTTGACTTCGCTCTTAATATTAGACCAGACCTTTTAGCACTTCTAATTGAATACAAGAGTTTCAATACATTAAAAATAATTAAAAAAACCTTGAAAGAACAATAAAAACTTATGTTACAAAAGTAACTTGTGGTTGATACTTACTGATCATATTGGTAACATTGTTATAATAAACTAGCTGTTCCCGTGCGGCTTCATCTGTATGAGATTATGAATAATTTATTTTATTGTTTACACTTGTCAATAGCAAATGTCAAAATGACATGCCATGACAAACCTTAGCAATCTTTCTTTCTTGATGTTGGCAGCAACTGATGGTCTCTTTCCCACATTAGGGTTTATATCCAAAATATTTACCCCTTAAGTTTAATGGCGTGAAAATATATAGCCTACAGCGTGACGTAAGTGTAGAGCTTTTTATTAAAAAGAGAATTATTCAAAAATATGCTGTAATTGCTGACATCTTCGGCAACAAAGAAGTGTGTGTTTATGCATTATTATAACAGTATAAAATAGCAAAAGTACCAGGTACCTGGATCGGTCAATATGCCTTTTGTAATCTCTGCTCACTCTTCAGAACTACAAGCGTGCTAAACACAATACGAAGAAATGCGTACCCCAAGTTTAATGGTATAATTTATAATGTTATCATGAATATATGTGGATGTATTCAGGTTAGAGTTGGGCTTTGTGCGAAACCAGGTCGCGTTAACTTAAAGGGCTGTTGTCTCTGACGTAACAGCCTAAGAAAGGCACCAATACAAAAGGTCACAACAATTTTTCACATTAATGTATTTCTTTGTAAGTTAATTTATTGTTTGAAACAATTAATCGATTTTATTAACAGCTTATTTAATTTACTTAATGTGAAAAATCGGTTCCATTTTAATTGTTAAACTTATTAAGTAGACGATAGAACGTAATCATTTTTATTCAATGCAAAGTGTGATGGAAGTCAAGTAAGAAATGATACACAAATAAATAATAATTCATATATCAAACATTAATAATATGTTAAATCCATTAGCAACAAACATCAGAAATAAACAATTATTCACACGACGCTAACCAATCTGTCCCAGTCAGTTTGGACAAATTGCATTGTTAAAGAGCGTAGCGTATGGGTCTGCTGGATAGAAATATTGTACTGGTAAAAAGTCCATATATTCTATATCTATGTATATTACACGAAACTTTTGTAAGAAAAATTATCTCGTAAATCATACTAATATTATAAATGTGAAAGTTAAGATGGATGGATGTTTATTAGAGTTTGTAGCCTAAACTGCTAAACGGATCTCAATGAAATTTGACATAGATGTAGCGGATAGTCTGAAAGAACACATAGGCTACTTGGTTTTGTATTTTTAAATACCACGCAGACGGAGTTGCGGGCGAAAGCTAGTAATAAATATAATAATGCAGTAATTTTAGCGAAATAAAATAAAATTTTCTTTTGTCAACAGCTCATCGGCGAGTGAATTGATCTCACGTCGCGGCGTGTTCTCTCGGAGGCAGTATGGATCAGTTGAGCAGGTAAGTCTTATGTGTCTTAAATGTTAAGGCTTGTCCTGATGAAAAACATGCATCACAACGGTAAGAAACAATAACACACTTCAAATATTGATATAAGTAACTTCTTACATACACTACTAAGGAAAAGGTTGCTATAAAACGTTTGCATCTTCTTTTAAAATCGTCCTCCATAAAATATAACATTGAGTCACGCTTAATTTTTTTGTGTTAAATGTCATTTTATATTTGTTAACTTTTACACAATGCGCGAAGGTAATTACTGAAGTGGGTCACGTTACATGGCTTCAACGAAATTTAATGTCACATTATGGATAATTAAAAGTTCTCGACTGAATGAGGGTAAGCGCGTCTACTTTATGTTGACTGTGTGATGAACGGGAAAGTTTTTTTTTTAATTTAATGAGTGTCTTTTATGCCAGTAACATAATACTTAGGCAAACGTTTTATTTTGCGTCCAATTATTTTTTGACAAAGTTTTTAAAAGCAATTAAACGTATATTCATTATTACTTGCAATAAATGAAATGCTTATTGAGTCTCTAAAACATAGCATAGATGTAACATTTGCTATAACAAGAAAGAAAATCTAAACAAGCCTTTGTGTGGGAATAAGGAAAAAGGTAAACTGTTAGTCCAATCATCAATCACACAACTTTTTGCAAAGTAACCGCTGTGTGTATTATTTACACTTTGAGACTAGATGTTTACGTAATATCATACAAGAAGTTATCGTTGTATTTTGTATTACATGTGTTTAGAATATTCCTACAGACATTTACCGGAAAAGTAAAAGCCGTCGTCATGTTAATCGTCCCCTAGATAACCAAACAGATCTCAGAGATATAAATTAATACTAGGGCTGAGCGAATATTCAAAACTCACTATTTATTTCGAAAAGTCAATCGATAATTCGATTCGACAGATACTCGCACACCCTTAATTCATACAAGAACTTAGAGATGCTTCGTAGAGGTGGCGTAGTTTTGTAGCCCCACACAACAGAATGACTACGACTACGAGCTACGCTTTGAAAAATCACTAATTATACTACCCAAATTAGGTACTTAACTTTCTACAACACTAACTGATTATATATTTACTAATTATCCGACCACAAATTTGTGTTTACCACAATGCAATTAAATAAACGATTCACTCAAATCTCAGCCACATTAATCATGCCACGAAATGGCTGTAACAATTAAATAGTGTGTTACATATGTGGCTTTTTCAATGTTTTATTGGATGCTAAATATTGAATTAAATAACTATAACACTTGAGCAACTCTAAAAATGTAAAATTTACATTTATTTAAATCGCGTAGATATTTCTTTGAAGTATCGTAGAATGACGCTACAACTCTACTACGAGCTACGTTTTAACAAATGATAATACTTTTATGATATCTGTATTTATTCTGTATATAATCATCAAATCGTATTGTGTAAATAAACATCTAAATCGTATATTTGACTATTTTGTTGTCTGTACGTTTTTTTTTATAGCAGCAGGGGGCAAACGACCAACGGATCGCTAATTATCAAGGGCTATTGATTATTTTATTGATAGTAGTTGTTTGGCTGTTTAGTGTTTGCCTTAATAACCAAAGTTTAAAAAATAAATCCGAGCTAACAAGGATCGAGTTCAATCATCTTTTATTGTTCGAGTTTCCAGAATTCATTAATAACAAGACAAGTAATTACAACTTTTACAACAAACTCATTTCCAAATCAATATTATTTTAAAGTCAATAAAAACAAAACTCATTACAAGGTTATTTTATATCTTACTTATATTATAAATGGAAATGTTTCCATGGATGGATGGATGTTTGTTGTTGTAGATTATACTGCTGAACGGATCTCTATGGAATTTGTCATAGATGTAGAGGATAAACTGGAAGAATACATAGACTAGTTACTTTTTTTTACTTCTACGCGATCGGAGTCGTTAAATATATATACTTTGTTTGCTTGTGCAAGGTTTTCTCTACATTGTACAGCATACTTATAGCCTAGTAAAGCATGGTAGCTGGGTGAATCATTTGAAATTCCCATTTCACTAAAAATGTACAATGGTAGTACCGTTGTACCTTGTGACGAATTTTCAACGAACACGATATTCTCCATATTTGATCTTTATCTTTGCCGTTTCAATGTTTCTTTATACATATTGTATACATTATATAATAATATAAATATTATAAATGCGAAAGATACGATGCATGGATGGATTTTTGTTAGCGTTTGGAGCCTAAACGGCTGAACGGCATGAAATTTGACACAGGTTTCGAGCATAGTCTGGAAGAACACATAAGCTACTTTTTATCCCGGGAATAATTATGGTTCCCATGAGATTCATTAATTTAGTTTTTTAATGTTTACTCGATCATTCTGCAACGGTTCAACAAATCTTATTGAAATTTGGCACAGATATAAAACAAAGTCTGGAGTAGAAGTCGCGGGCAACAGCTAATATCAAATAAAAATATTTTATGATTCCCATACATGCATTTACAAACTTAAATACCATTTTACTATATAGAAAATACTTTACCAACTAAATAGTTTGTGATTACTTGTGTGAACTAGTTAATTTCTACATGTACTTACTAGGTCAAATTTTGAGCAGGTAACCTAGTACATACATTTAACCATGCGGTAATTCTAAACATAATATAATTTAGTATCTGTTACCATCAATCACTCCTGTTAATCCAGGCGTACTAATTGATGATGGATAGCCTAATTACATGTACCGTATGTTATTGAGTGATAATTCCTTATAGAAAAGTATTAAAACCATATCTATAATTCGTGTCATATTAAAGAAAGTGTTTATTAATTGTACTAGCTCTGGACCGCGACTCAGTCAGCGTGGAATTAAAAAAAAATTAAAATAAGTAGCCTATGTGTTCCCAGACTATCCTCTACATCTATGCCAAATAAAATGGATATCCGTCCAGCGGTTTAGGCTACAAACTCTAAGAAACAACCATCCATACATCCAAATTTACCCGTTTATAATATCAGTATAATATAAATAAGATTAAGGGCCCCGTCCCACAACTGGCCGAAAGAGGCTCAGATAGCTTAAAAATGACGTCACTGTCAGATAGATTACCAAAATCCGATATTTCCATCACATGTTTTACACGTAAGATTGTTATCTGACAATTTACAATAATTTGGTGGGACTGACTAAACTTTGAGATTATAATACGATTTAATATAATGAATTGTAAAGGTTGTTAATACTGTTAGAAAAATAAATCAAAGACTCAAAGCATATATATACTAGATTAAGTCCACGCTACGCTACCGCAATACGATGCGACATCGCGCTGGAGGTGTGTCCTGGCCATCGAATGATTTATTTGGTCGAGACTAATTACTTAGGACAATTTACTCACACTAATAAAAGTATTGTTTTACTGCATATAATTTCAGACTATATACAAAATACATGTTGAATTGTACTTATAAGCTTTGTTTTGTAGAAAAGAACGTGTTTAATTGTTCGGATAAAGTCAATAATCGAAAGCGTGTAAATTTATTAATGAAATGGCAATTCTAGAATATGTATAAAATACAAATAAGAGATTTTTTGTCTAAATCGAATGACCAACGTATTTGGAGTCACTGACCCTTTTATTTGGGAACTAATAACTATTATAGCGAGTGCTGCTCGGGTACGGCACATTATTACAATACTTCCGATTTGAAACGAGGGGACGGCTTTAATAGTATTAGTTAGTGCTGAAATTCTGTTCCTACGATTGAACATTGAATGTTGCAAAAAGGTAGCTGTGAATTAATTTTGTTTTTATATAACGACATAAGTATTAATAACGTATCATCGTAGTAATCTCTGAATGAAAATGAAAATGTTTATTGGATTTTCCCTCGTTCGAGAATAACGTTAAAGATTTTTATTAGTCCTTTCTGCGTTTATCCAAAGAAAAAAAATGAAATTAGACTACATTGTTTGTCCACTATATGCCTGACATCGTAATCATTTACTTGATTTTAAACATCGTTGATCTAATTTATTTATAATCAGCGAACATTAACAGCGTATCAATAAAGTTCTAAATTAATTCAGGATGCCCTATGAATGAACAAAAATATAATATCGTACCCTTTATAAACGTACACCAATAAATAATCCAAGCGTAAAGGGGTCGTAGCTGACCGCTACGATATTTCTGGACGATATCAATATGAATGAACTCTGAGATGTGATCCAAACGGAACAACGACATCTTCAAAATAGATTCATTCTAGTATACACCCCAAACATATATTCTTGTTTGTTTAGGAGGAATTTTTATGTAGTTTAATCGATCTTAACGCCCATAATCTATATTGATACGTTTATAGGTGATTTGTTCTAGATTTTGTAATTATTTTCATACCTTAATCTTCGCAAATTTGATCAAAACATAAAATTAATTAAGAAAGAAGCAAATCCAATTAATACCCAAGGCCTTTATCACTTGAGCTAATATTGAAAAATTAATTATTGAGAACGAATTTATTGGATCGTCGTAATTCTTTGCTTTTTTCATATTATAAGCAAAATAATGAACTTATCTTGCATATTTATATTTGTATATTAACCGTAGTAGTCCTTACCTTAGTTAAAATATATGTGAAAACTTATTAACACTAGGGATGCCCGAATATTCGAAACAAGTGAATTATTTATTTCGATTCGAAGTTCAACATTTCATTCAATTCGAATTCTATCGCACATCGTTAATTAATTCTTAAATCACTAGAAAGGTTTAAAATGGCCTTCAAAATTGAAGTAAACATTCTTATATAGGCCAGCGCGTCATTCCACACCAAACTTCAGATTTTCGTTAATCTTTCTCTTCTAAAAATTCTTGTCGTTTTGTGTGCTATGTTAAAGGTATAAACAATAAAGCCGATCTAGAATATTGATAGATTGATATCACAGTATCGAATGCGGCCGGACGGCGCGAGGCTGAACAGAAGCCGCTTGACGAGGGTCGATCATAAATCCGCGCCACTTTCTGTCGGATATATTTGACAAATACTTCGACTTAATTTATTCAAGGGGACTTAATTTATTTAATTTGTTAATTATTACCTGTAAAATGATTTTTTTTTCTAGGAATGACCTAGACTGTGTATGATTTATATTCTTGTTTATGACCAAAAGTTTGTTATGAGAATACTTTTGTTCTATAATAATACAAGATGAAAAAACTATAAGGATTTCTTACTATAGTACTTGTATTGTAACGATTTTATATACTAAAACGAATAACTAATATTGGATTCATGGCATAGAATCGTACAAAACGAATTGCAGTGATATATTTCAATAGTCCGACTCCAATGTAATTTCGAGAAAACTTCTGTTACATCGTGTTGTGTAAAACATTTTGAATCAAGTTTTTGGCGTTATATATTTGTCAACCGTTATTACTTTCTCTTGCAATACAGAAATAGTAGAAAAGTATACTGTTAAGATCTCGATTTCATTATTAAATAATTGTAATAGTTGTACTTTTGTTTGCATAAGAAAGTATTAAAAGGTTAGAATCATGGTCTTATAAGTTGGTTTCTCAGTCTCAAAGCATCCTCTTACATACTGACAAAGCTTTTCTAAGTTAAAATGATTATGTTTATTCGTAGAATTCTTGTTTGTTTAAAGTTAATGTACAAAATTAACTTGAAACTTTTTATTTAATAATCCAGGTTAGCTATAACTCGGATAAGGAATTATAACTCCTTGAGTGACGAGGGTTAAATAGAATCGTGGGTCATCTGACAAATTAATTTGACTTAAACTTGAAATTTAAATTAGCAGTAACAAAATACGTGACATTCTGGAATTTAAGACTTTTTGCTCATTTACTTACAAAATAGAATCGATATTCGTATTCTTAAATTAATGAAAACAGATAGTTTTATGCTTAAAATACTGTTTTATGTTATATCATTTCCTTTGTCCGAAAAAAAGATACGTGAATTCGACCGACACTATAGAAAAGGGGCCAGCGTTCCAGTTAGTTTCGAAACAAATTACACATAGGCTTGGAACCTTTGTTTAAAAGCTGTGGCCTTAATTTGATCTAATTTATCAAATCACTATCAAAAGAGGAAACGATATTTACTTATTAAAAGTGAAAGAGATGAAAAAAAAACTAAACGTGTTTCTTCAGAATACACAAATTACATATATTTCAGGCTAAAACAAATGGCATACAAGAAACCACCGACTTAATACATTTGCCACGTTTAAACTACTATAACAATCCGTGCAACTTAACACATTCCACCACCAGTATACGTTGACACATGTATTCTGTATACTTGGAGTATACTTGTATACTTGACATCATAAATCGTGTCACAACAAAAACCGTTCGCGTGACTGAGCTCTATGAAACACACATACCACATTACATTTAGGCCAACCGTCTACACGTCTAGAAGGTATTTTACATATAACTATCCTTTAAGAAATTGTAGAATTATTTTCACATTTCCTAACATAAATAATAAATCTATACTATCTATATTATTATAATAAAGCGTAAACACACACTTCTGTGTTGCCTAAGATGTCAGCAATTACAGCATATTTTTGAAAAATTCTTTTTTTAATAAAAAGCCCAACACTTACGTCACGCTTAGGCTATATATTTTCACGCCGTTAAACTTAGGGGTAAATATTTTGGATGAAAACGCTAATGTGGGAAAAAGACCATAAGTTGGTGCCAACATTAAGTAAGCAAGGTTGCCATGGTTTGTCATCATGTCATTATAATTTGTAATTGATAATTTGACAAATGTAAAAAATAAAATAAAATTTTCATAATTTCATGCGGATGAAGTCGCACGGGACCAGCTAGTAATTAGATATATTAAAAAACTTACAATTCCTACGTTGCAAGCATACTATTTTTTAAAGCTCTGTTTAAACAAATATAAGGTAAACGATAAAGGGATCAGTTTGTTCAATTGTTAGCTCATCAATTTGTTGTCAAATCAAACAAAAGGGATGTAAATAACACCATTGTTACAGAAACATAAAAGAATTTGATGTAAAGGTCAGAGGAATCCGCTGATTACTTCACCATTCCGGGTCAAACGAATCAATCAACAACGACACGACGACAAAACGTGACGCATTCACCTCCTTTCACCTAATTCACCTCGTTCACCTCTTTGACAGCCAAAATGTAGACTAGCACACGTAAGATACCCTATTAAAGGTGCAAACAATTAACCTCCATTCGAGTTAAAGATAAAGGTTAAGTATCGCCTACTAAATAAACAATTTATAAATTATAAGTTTACGATTTCAATTAAATAAAATAAACTATACTTGACATAAATTCTTATATGAATAAAATAATATAAGATTTTAAGCGTTTTGCATGGAATTAATAAAAGTCCCCAACGGAAATGGGTTCTCATAATTTAACTTAATACGAACGAGTCTCGGTTTCTCATTTAATTTTCAATTCCGCCTAAACTAAATGATTATTTATTCAAATTGTACATCAGTTTAGCAGTTATGCTTTCAGTTTTTTTAATTAATATACAAAATAATAACCTTTTTAAGTACTTGAATATAAATGTACCATAATTAACAAGTACTTAAATATTTAAACAATGTTAATGTGTAGTTAGTGTTTTAATGAGATAATTAAGTCAGTAACTGAGTTCCTTTGGGTATGTTTAGTCAATTCTATTGTATTACCGCTTTCTTTGTTTTACGACCCTCGACACTGCGTCCAGTAATAGAAGAGTTTACACGAGATGTAAAACAGGAGGGTAATATTCTACATCATGCGAATTTAATGATTTTTTTACAGTTGTCAGCGTCAGTGGAAGGTGGCGGGGCGGTGGACGCTATTGTACGCCGCTACCGCCTCGAGAACGGCAACTCCCTTGGAGAAAAAGATGAAGTAAGATGTTATACCACTTTTTAAAACCACTTCCAATTAAATGTACAGAGCAACATGATACAAGTTATTACTATGATGGTATTAATAATCTTGAAAAGTTCCCTTCATAACTATATCCGTAAATATTAACGGTTTAACATACCGTTACATTGCTGAAAACGTGTGACCAATTGCTTAAATAAAATTCCTAATTCTATTTGCAGTAGTCACTAATGAATTTAAACTTGTTTCATAAAATTACTAATTAAATTTCATTTTTCTATATTCTTGTAAAATTATGAAATATTCAAACAAGGGTGATTAATTATAAACATTGTTGATTATTATCTTAAAATGAATTAATCTCTCCGTCTTTTCCAGTTGTTTGGTCCGCCGAGCGCCCCTGTACTTGAGAACCCCGAGTTTCAGACGAGATGGTACTTCAAATATTTTCTCGGTAAAAGTAAGTACATAAAAAGCATACCTTTTTCATAAAGAATTCTTTGTTGTTTTTGTCACTAAATTACACGCCATTATTCAAAATACGTGTACATTATTCTTACACAATAAGTTTCTCGTTTCTTTACGTTTAGAATTTATCAATTTGGGACAAATAAAGATTTAAAGAACAGAGGAATAGTACAGCAAAGTACAATCAACTTAATGGATATTCCAATTTGTCAAACACTACTGGCTCGTGTCAAACATTTTTTCGTGATAACATGAATAATTGATACGCTGACAGTGTAACACACGCTTCAATTATTTTTTGGAAACCCCATGCAAAATGAATTACGACTAACAATACTTCGAATTGAATTTTTCTGTTTTGTCTTAGAAGTGACTATGATAATATTTCCATTAACTTACTTTTTGAATATGAAAAGTTGAAACTTAATAGTAAATTTTAACAAACTAGCTGTTGTTCGCGACTTCGTCTGTGTCGTGAAATTAAAAAAAACATATCCTATGTTAGTCACAGATAAATTACCTTTCTGACGGTGAAAGAATTTTTAAAATTGGCCCAGTAGTTTTTGAGTTACTTCAATACATACAAAAATACAAATCTTTCTCCTTTATAATATTATAGTATAGAGTAAGCATCCTTTGAATTTGAACGTAGATGAAAAGTTTTTGTTTGTATTTCAAAGAAATGAGCCATTCAAGAATTTCCATATAAGCCTCTTGTAATCCGTTTCTAAAGATTTAAGCCTTATGATAAATTCATCTCGGTAACTTCTTATTTTTGCCGAGACCCCGATTCTCGAAACAGGTCTGGATAAAAGGAACAAATCCCATCCCAGATTAAAATCCGTCGAGGTTTATAGGTCAACTACAGTTTGTGTACCTTGCATTGGAAAATATATTACACATTTTAATATAGTAAATGCATGCTTTTGTTATAAAATACTAGAGAAATTCAACTCGAATAGTAATTTCTATTAGAATTTATAAAAAGCCGTAATATTTGAACAGCATATTACGTCCCTACATTATTGACTTTATTTTAACACTACTGAAAGTATAATAAATTGCATGTGACCTATGTTTAATAATTAACTACGCAACAAATTATAATTGGAAAAACATTTTGAATATGTCATATCTGAAACTTATAACTCTACGTCATTTCTAAAGCGTTTGACCTTTCACAAACAACAAACAAATCGGTTTTCCAATAAAACTTTTCAATGTTTCCTCACAATGTTTGCTTTCCATACTACTTGGGAAATTGCATATGTATTAGGATTCATTATTCATAGTTATTCTGATATTATAAAGTTAAATAAATGCAATCAAAATAAGGTAAACTCATACACAAATGCATACATAAATAAATCAGTTCATCCATTACTTTACTTTTATAAACTAGTTGTCGCTCGCGACTTTGTCTACGTGAAATTTAAATGTAATAAAAATATCGCCTTTGTTGCTCACTGATTACGTAGCTTTTTAATAGTCAAAGAATTTTTAAAATCGGTCCAGTACTTTTCATGTTATTTCAACACTATAAAAATACAAATCTTTCCTCTTTATAATATCAGTATAGAAAAGAGAAAAATTAGTAGAACAAGTGTTAGGAAGGGATTATCAAACCATAAATATTTAGAAATCACAATTCAGTTACATACATAAGATCTAATCTAGTAACATCTACCACTGATAATAAACGAAAAATTATTTTATCTATTTGAAACAAACTGATTATCCAACTTAAATAATACTTCTGCACTCACTCGTAGTCTAATGTAGTAAAAGACAAAACTACATGTAATTACCAAGTTGTAAAAATTTGCACTAATATTTGTTTATACTCAATTTATTCCTAAGTTTAACTTTATACCTTGTTTATTTGTAAGGCTTGTCTTTTATATATACGTATGTACATTTATTTATTGAAAGTCAAATCACAAAACCCGTGATTGATGTCTCAAAACTTCTTAATCTGTGTGAACTACGTTGTGTTCATTTTACGCAAACAAAATTTTTCAAAGAACATTATAAGTCATGATTGTATTAAAAAGTTTTCCAATAAAGATTAAATGACTTTCCAAGTCGAAAGAAAGGGCTGTACGCTTTCTTGTTTGACGATATTTATTGAGATTAGTCGGATTTAACAACAAACAATTTCAGAACAATTTAACAAACTCGTTTGCTAAAGTGTTTTATATGTTTTATATTCTAGATAGATTTCTATTATGATCTTTGCTCGCTCCTTGAAATACAGACAAGTGATATGAAGAACGGATAAGAGGGAGGTGTTTTATATTATTATTTAGTATTATCTTATGTCCGCGACTCCGTGGAAGTGAAAAAAAACACCTATTGATCCAACCATCTAAACTTTCACATTTATAATATAAGGGCCTGTCCCACCACTGACTAATAGATGCTCAGATGTCTAAAAATTGACGTCACTGTCAGATAAGTGAACAAAATCCGATATTTCGATCACATATTTTATACGTTCAATAGTTATCAGACAATTTATAATATGGTGGGATAGGCCTTTAGTAAGATTATGAATATGCTTTTCATATCCCCAAAAACCAAGCTATTTCTTTTTTATCAACACAAATAATATCTAGACTGTTGTATATCTCTTGCTTACCTTACACATAAACATTCACTATAACCGATATTTGTACTCAAGTGTAGAGACAATCACGTAAATGGATTCGCTTCATAATCAACTCTCGTACGCTAAGTAAACATGTTTTCACTTGTATTTGATCGTGAATTATTAAAGCTCTGCGTGGGCTATGTTAAATTTACTTAACCGGGCTATGTGTTCTTCCAGACTATCCTCTGTACCAAACTGTACCAAATATCACCGAAATCCGTTCAGCCGTTTAGGCTACAATCTCTAACAAACATACATCCATCCATCTAAACTTTAGCATTTATAATGTTAGTTAGATTAATATCGTATTTTACTTGAGAACGTTGAAAGTAAAATTAAAAAGTGTAAGTGACTTTGTACAGATATATTATCGCCTTCAGACGTCAAGAGACTGAAACTTGTTCCATTCACGTTCAGTTTGCTTTACTTATAATTAATAGAGCTTCTACGTAATTGAATAAGTTATTACGCACACATTCGTAGCGTGTATCTTTTAGCGTTGTAAGAAAATTTAACATTAAATATTTACGTTCACTTCGAAAATTTATTAAAACGAAATGTTTCACGCATTTATTTTTAATGAAAAGAATATTGTGTTTAATAATTATGTAACATTATTTTGATTAATTAATTTTAACTTAACTTACACCAATGTGACTGTCTTATTTTAGTAAGTACTCGTCTGTAGTAAACAAATAGAAGTAGTTCCCATCCTGAACGGACAGAAATAAAATCCTTTATTTAGCAAAACAAACACTCGAAAGTTCTAACGATAAGTGTGATTGGAAAATGTTATTCCATTCGTAAACCAAATCCAATGTTGACTACACAAAACAAATAGCAGAGTTACGGAGAAACAAATAAAATAGTAACAAAAATATAAACATTTGTAACGTACGTAAACCACACGCCATATAGTTAAATTAATTAACTATTTCCTATTAAATTTCATTTGGTCGATATGTTGTAATTTCAACATTCATAAACTCTTTTAAACATAACCTTCTAAAGCGTGTTATTTTTATTTTTTAACAGTGCACCAAAATTACATAGGCGTAGACGCAGCAAGGGAACCTTATTTACTTAGCGTCGTCCAAGAAGGAGCAGGACTTCTACGAGCGATATTATTTAACAAAATGGTAATTACTACCAATTTAATAAGTTAAGTCATTAAATTATTTTTTCTGTAAATAACTGTATTTGATTTGATTGTATTCTTTCTATAGGGTGCTCACAAAATATATTTACCAGCGAGTGCTTGGAGTGCTAGTGGAGGACAAACTCCTACAAGACCAACAGTCAAACAAATCCTTACTCAATTCACAGCCATGGAAAGAGTAGATAAAGTCCCTCGAGAGGTGAGAAACATAATTTCAAATTAGTAACGTTTTGTATTTTAATCGATTTCGTAATATTTAATTTTGATTTATTGGAATCATTGATTTTTTTGTATAGATTACGTGCCCCGAACTACAAAAGGATATTTTACTGCTCGAAGAACAAGAAGGTTCCGTGAACTTCAAGATAGGGATTATGCTAATGAGACCTGGCCAAAGGACTGACGACGAAATGCTCTCTAATGGTAAAATTTCACAAAAGCTCTATGCGCGAAAAAGAATGCTTTTATGATGGATAACACGTAAAAGGTACCGTGTATTTCAGAGAAAGGCAACGAAAAATGGGAGCGATTTATCTCCCTACTGGGCGACAAGATTCGATTAAGAGGTTGGAACCGTTTCCGAGGCGGACTCGACGTCAAAGGTAAAGAGCCAGGAGTACCGCTTAAACTCCCCAAACTAAATAATGCCCAACTTAAATGAATTACTTTGTACTGAAGTAACTTTTGCGCTTGCTTTTTATCTGTATTCAGGTGAAAAAAGACATTGCTTTCTTAATGTTTAAGTACTTTTTGTAAGTTAACAATAAAAATAACTATGGCTTAATTCAACTATGGAATTGTTTTAGGTGACATGACCGGCAGTCATTCTATCTACACGATGCATCAAGGCCACGAGATTATGTTCCACGTCTCCACCATGCTGCCATTCTCCAAGGATAATAAACAACAGGTGAAGTAATTTCTACATCTAATATTAATACTGGCAATTTGTTAATATTCTTTAGCTTCGATTAATAATACAAATCAAGCATTCATTCATAACATTTTTTCTATATTATCTTTATTGCCACAAGCATTTAACAATTGATTTTCTATCTTATACTTTACAGCTGGAAAGGAAAAGACACATCGGCAACGACATAGTAAACATAATATTTACAGAAGATTCCACTCACAATACATTTAATCCGCAGTACGTCAAGAGTCACTTCACTCGTATCCTTTTAATAAAATCTACTTATACTGTAGACTACTGCTAACAATGGTAAGAGCAGCAGTAAACTAAAACAACTCATAGATTGTTACTTGGAGACGTTTTTTGTAAAAAATAATTCTTACAACACGTGAAATTCTAGATGGAAGCGATTCTCCTTCGTATATGGACAAAGGACAAAAACTAAGTCTGAATTAATTTATATGAAAATTATTTTTTCTTAAGTAACAAAACAGACATATTCGCCGTGGTGTCGGAAGTGGAGGGCGAGGGGTACCGATTAAGCGTGTACAGCGACGACAGCGTTCCACCTTTCGGGCCCTCTTTGCCCTGCCCGCCCGTCTTCAACGACCCTCAACTCTTTAGGGAGTTTCTATTGGTACAATGAACTTAGCATTAATAGAGCTCTTAAGGAAAGGAGAAAACGTACACACTATACTTCAACATTCGTCAATGGCTTCTGTTCGTTTAGTTTGACTATGAATGTACACTTAGTTTAGCATATATTTTGTAGATAGAAGAACTTATGAAAGATTACCATTCTAAAATAATGTACCAGAATCAGCTAAGACAAGCTTATTTGTGTACGAATACATACTAGGTGTCTATATTGTTGTCAGGTTAAATTGATGAATGGCGAGAAAGCGGCCTTCCAGACCCCGACGTTTGCATTGAAACGTCAGAGGACCCTCGACACCCTCATTAGAGATATCTACGCTGAGCATTGCTCGGATCACAAAGTAGTAAGTAAAATTAAATAAATATATTATAGAGATATATTAAACGAAAGAGTTTAATGTGCATGGAAGTCAATTACACAATATTTGAAACGAATACAGGTGAATGGAATATTAAGGAGTTTTGTCCCTTATCAAAATATGAAAGGCACAACTGTTCTTTTTATTGAAGTCACGTCCTAATTATGCACTTGTGACAAACAGCTGACAGCCACTTTGTCTCGTGACCTACTTTCACGATTATTCGAATTTCTCACAAGGTGAATGGACATTTATATCTCGTGAGAACAAAAGAACTCTTTTATTTTGAAGATGTTGTTCCGACTTCATTTAAGTGCATAATAAATACAATCATATACATCAAAAATTACAAGTTTAACTTCTTTACATCTAAATATATGTTTAAAAAATGGCTTCCCAAATTATACAATTTGTACGAAGTTCACTCTAACTATAATCTCTTACTCTTCATTCCTTATAACAATATTACATGAAGTGTATATACGATTGCTAATTATTTCCATTGACAATCTTTACAAAGACAAATTAAAATTCTGACCATAGCCGATGTTATCCCGGCGTGCACTGTCCGACGTGTGGTCGGGCGGTGCCGGCGCGGGTGGTGCTGGTGCAGCGCGCACCGAACGGTTC